CATGTGGAAGATTCCTACACAGCCACAACAACCTGGCACCTCCTCCTCATGCTGTGAAGCAGCTTCGTTACATGCTGTGAGATGRCATCCCTTTAACCTGCATTTGTCACAAGACAGCTAATGCGGTTCTGTTGGTCACTCTGGAACAAACAGCACGCCCATGTTGATCTCACAGGTACTCAGAGGGGTTGAAGTCTGGGCTTTCAACTCCCAAACTTTAGAGATCTCTGATAAATACCGCTTTGTGGGGGGTGCCTGATTGTCCCGAGAAGATGTTTGCCAGTGGGAGAGAAGATGTGGTGAGTTTTTCATGGGCACAACCCACAAATGTATTTTCCTACTAAATGGGGCACCATTTAAGGAGAAATGCACAGGTTTGATTGCAAAGAAGCATTGTTACATCAGAAAATGCGACCCATCATATCCAACTGAGAATTAAGCCACAAAGTGATTTGTAAATGCAGTGAAAAGGCATAATTGCTTAAAATATGCAACAATTCTAATTTGCACAAATATAATGAATGACTTTATCAGCATAATGTTTGAATGATATATCTGAAATATAATTTCAAGGAATTTTTTTGAAGCTTTTGTCAAGCAGTAGTCACAAAAAGCAAGATTTACAGCAGAAAAGTCTTAAATTTTGGTCTTTTTCCCAGTGAGCTAGCAAGTTTTTTTTCCTTTCTAGCTGGGAAATCTTTATATCCCAATATTTTTTGAGGTTTGTTCTTTAAAACTACATCAACCCCTCATTCAAATAGCCTAAAAATAAGATTCAGACCAAGTATCAATGGGTTATCTTGATTAAGAAGACAAATCAAGGCATATCTCTGGAACTACACATGATATCAGGAAGATCCAGGTACCAAAAACATTCAAAATAAGCTTTCATTAACCAGAAGGACAGTTGTGGTTAAGTTGAAATCTATTTTTGATCAAAGTATAATGAAAAGTAAGCAGTTAGACAYGGCTTGCTGCTGATTTTGCTGGTTTGCAGGTTTCATTCAGACGTGCACAGAAACTTGCATGCATTCAGTATACTTTACCTGGCAGCCCCCTGGCATAAAAAAACCCTCAATTCTTTTATTTCAGCGCCCACGTTCATTGCTCTGTTCTGGAAGTGTGTGTGTGTGATCTCTGCAGTGACACTGCGATCTTACTGCAGTTTAGCCATGCTCAGCTGCACCCGGTCCACACAGCCCCACACACAGCATGCCAGCTGCTTCAAACATGACTGGGAGAATGAGAGAAAGAACATTATAGGAAAAGTGTGTGTGTGGGGGGGTGGATATTTAATAACAGAGCTCAAGAGAAGACAAAAGAGGAAGTTTTAGTAGAGAAAGATGGTTGGACTAAAAACAGCATGTAAAGAAGAGGTACAACAGAGGAGTTGGACGTTAAAGAAAAATGAGGGTTTGTGAAAAGTTTGTTTAAAAAACTGAGATGAGACACGTTACATCAGAGAGCAAATGAGAACAAATAAGTAATGATAGGGTGATCCATTCCTTTTGTCTGTTGTGTTTGAGATAATAGCCCAGTCTTTTCCTCACTAAATACTACCAGTCTTCACCTCACCGCTTCAGTCCACCCACACCCTCCCTCAGCATCACTCCTCTTTGTCTCTATGCTTCTGCTTTCATACGTCGCTCCTTATATCTTCTTCTCCTTCCTATCACTCCATTACCTTAAACATTTAAGGTATTTAAACAGGAAGGACATTAATGAATAGTCATGACCAACACTCTGTCCCTCATTCTCATAACCATGGCGGTTCAATAAGATTAGGATATTTACATTAGATTGTACTCAGTAATCAAATCATTACTTCGCAAAGCTTTTACAAAGCTGTTTAGACCTTCTTGTTTGCCATAATGCAGCATCCCTTTACGTTCAGCTCAGTCTGTGCTCCTGGATGTGGCTGTTTTGTGGTTAATGAGGCTGCAGAATGACTCCAGCACAGAAAAAAACAGCAACCAAATAGTTACAGTGTGGGGTTTTTTTTTAAAGTTATTGAACACAAATGTTTCAAGTGTTAACGGGTTTGTTCAGTAAAATTATTCATTTGAGCTGTTTTTTAATTTTTTTATTTGCCTTTAGGCTCTTTGGATTTCTCACCCTATAGCTTCTTGCTTGGATCATTTACTTTTACTGCTAACCTTATAGACCGCCACATTTCTCCTTGGAAACACACAACATCCATTTCTTTCCATCTGCAATGGTAACATGCACGCAAGAAAGCAGGATTTTCAGAAAACCAAGGCAGCATGCCAAATGTGGCAACACGTTTTCATCTATTAATAGCTTGTATCATGTATATATATGGTACATGGAATAAATGTGGCTTTATTTTTGAAGCATGCATTCTTTGTCATGAAGGCGCACTGGACTTTCTGTATAGACGTATGTACAATACATTAATTTAGATATTATGATAGTTTTAACTTATGTTGCTGTGATACTGTGTTTGCTCTATAGGTTAGGTTTATTTCTGTTATTTGTTGTCAGCTCAGTCATGATTTCCTTTGTTTTCATCTTATTTTCAGCAATTTTACATGTTTTAATCTTTCAAAATGAAATGTAAATTCAGTGTATGATCTTCACAATGCCCTTATAATCATTGGGAAACAAAAGAAGCATTTTTAGAGTGTATTCTTCAATAAATGCAGTCTGTAATTTGAACCTTTGATCAGTCATTTAAAATAATGCAAAATCAGGTAATGAAACTAACTACACGCATGGAAGGAAAGGCCAGCACTTGTTTTTTTTTTTTTGTTTTTTTTACATTAGCATATGTTTAAAGCCTTCTCTGCATACTGCTAACATTTTTTTTCAGGGCTGTACAATCCAGCATCTCTGCTAATGTGGTATTGCAGCAAAACTCTGAATACTGCTACTGAAGCACACTTGTCCATTATCCCACCAAAACTTTTTCTTAATTATTATCAGCTCAAAATAAGAACATCTTAGTGTAATTTAGATCCTGTTCAGCTTGAATTAATGCATTGAAATCCAGTTTATTTATCCAGTTGCTTACTTTGACTCAAATGCAATAAACATTTGCCACAGATCCTTTAACATTTCAGTCTGATTATATCTCCATTATAATAAAAATAAAACCAGTGTGGTAATCCATGAATGGATACCAACAAGGTCACAGTAATCGCCCACAGCAACTGGGAACACCTGAACAGGGAGGAGCCTCAGGGTAACCAGGAAGAGAAAGATGAAGAGAAAGGGGCAGAGCTGGAGATGAAAAGAGAGGGACTTTGAATGGAGGGCGAAAGGGAGTGACATATAGAGAGAGCACTAATGCCTGCAAGAGTTTGCTCGCCAAGAGAGGAAGAAAATTATTTACTTAGATACTTATGGGGTAAAAAAAAAAAAAAAAGCTTGTTTTGCTCCTAAAAAATTGGATTATGAGAAAATCTTGGATGAACTCAAGTTTTCAAAGCACATCTATTTTCAATGCATTTCCTGATAATATTCCAAGTTTGTCCTGAACCTGTCATCACATTCTCCTCACATCAGGTGCTGCTTTGAAGATGATGCATCGTTGCCATAGCGGCTAGTTTTAAGGGCCGTGCGCCTGATTTAATGTCCTCTCCTCTCTGGCTCTGACACAGCAAGTCAACCCCCAGATACAGCTTTGTGGTGATGGATTACACACCTGCAGCTACAGGGACTGTCGAAACTTCACGTCAACCCACTGAGCTCAAGGGGATTAACCCTCTCAATCCAGAGGCATGAAACTCCTATCGACAGCTTTTAGGGTAAAGTGTGGCAGGTACAGTGGGATCACAAAATGTTTTATTTTTTATTTTTTGCATTTGTCTCAAACTAAACATTCTACCAGTCATGTGATTACTGTTCCATTCAATTTGAATTTTAAAATTGTTCAATTTTTAGATGTAGATTCGTTGGAATTTATTTTACCTTTTGCAGAAAAGTAAAGAATAATAATTTATGTCACATTCTTGGTAAAAAAAATGTTAGTTATGAGAAATTAGCTTCCCTATATCATATCACTTGTGTAACACGGCATGGTAAAGTTTTATAAAGTAAAACAAATTTAGTGAATGTAGTATTAGAGGATATAACCTTCATAGACAAGAAAGAACTCGTTGGTAATTTTGTAAATTTATCAAGAGACCAAGTTCAGGTGGAAAACTGTAGTTTTTTAGGCTTATTAGTCTTCTTTGTACTGCATGTTGTACTGTACTGCATGTGCTTTGTTTAAATTTTCTCTTTACATTGTGTCTTCAGGTGAAATGGTTTAAACWGGTTTGTTTTATACAGTATTTAGGCATCAAAATCTATTTAGGTTTAGGAATAGCAAATTGGGTTTAAAAAAAATCCCTGTCATGCTCATTGATCATCATGCTCATCAAGAGTGGTTTTGGACAATTGTAATTTTAGTTTAATTTTCTGTTGACATTTCATGCCAACAAAGTATTCATCACACATGTTATTAAGGCAACCATTGATTGGTGGATTTCTTGCACACATTTGAAGTATACTATATCAGATCAGCTTTATTTGTGTATACAAAAGTGAATTGAGTAGAAGTGAGTTCATGGAGAGGGGCTAACAGGTACCGCTGCATTGAACAGTTATATATTATAGCATTATAGTTGAGAAGCAAAACGGTCCAAAGTGTGGTGTCACTTTACAAAATAGGATGCAGAAACTTCCACCTACAACAAATGCTTTAAGAATATTTGGTGCAAAGACAAATTATTAATGGTTTTAAGTTAATAAGTTGGTCAATTTCAAGTTTGACTTTGCCTCAGAAATAGTCATTGCTTCACAAACCTCTGTGTGAGTGTGTGTGTTTTATTTATTTATTTTTAAAGTACTGATTTAAATACTGTTTAGGAACCGGTACCGTTTTGAAAGTATCGATTTGGCACCAGTATCGAATTAAACCCTTTTAATACCCAACCCTAGTCTACACATAATTATGTAACATGCAAACGTGCAAACAAACACAGAGTCCTTACCGAGCCATCCTGAGCTGGAGTTTGGCACACACATGTCAGTTTCTGCGCTGGGCAGCACAAAGCCCACTACAAACACCTCTACACCGTCTGACATGAGCGCCATCCCCAGGACGAGGAACAGCTGCCACTGGAACCTCCCGTGCCCACACTCCTGCATGATCAGCTCGTACTGCTGGGCCAGCTCCTCCTCGTCCGCCTGTCTCTCCTGCTCCAGATCGTCCCGGCCCCTCGTGGCATCTGCCCCGGGTTGTCCCAGCGCCACCTGGCCTTCCTTATGCTTCTTGTCTCCCGCCGACGGGATCCCCTGGTACTCCCCCTCGTAGATCTCGTCCTCGTCATCGTGACCCTCCGTGGCATCGCTGGAGCCCTCCTCGTTGTCCTGGTAGGCCTCTCCTTCCTGCCCCCTTTGGTTCCTGTAGAAATCCTCGTTGTCGTCCTCTTCGTCCTGGAACCGCGAGTAGTTGCGATGGGATGAGTACTCATCTGTGGCGCGGTCCACCACTTTGTTGACCTTTTTTGCTGCGTGCCTCTTGGCCTCTTTGACCATGTCTTTGGCCCCTTTGACCAGAGAAGTCCTGTTATTGTAAGTGTCCTCCATGCTGGCTACAAGGGCAGATCTTCAGCGAATTGTTAGAAACAGACGAAAGTGGAGGGAATATGGGAGGATGGGGTTTGCAGGAACGATGGCTCTTGAGAGACTCTTGAGTGTCACTGCAGGAGACGACCCCCAGCGTTTGTAGCAATCATCAGTCAGGCTATAAGACATGGGGGAAGGATAAACAACAAAACAATAATTAGAAAAGGGGCAAGATGGATCAGAGAAAGACAGTCAGAAAGAAGATTTTTTTAAAGATACCATCTCTACATTTATAAACATCAAAGACTAGCAGATGACATCCCACTGGCAGCACATTCCCTCTTTAATCATTCACACACCGATCTCCCAGGTCTTTTAATCATCTGGATTGATGTGAGGAAAAGGGCCCGTTTCTGTATTGCTCACTTTTTATTAAAATGAACATTCAATTTCAAGATCCTTGTTCTTTATTTCATGAGTTGCCATTGGCATTAAAGAGATGATATTTTCAAACCGAAAAAGGTGAATCTGCTGACTCATGATCATTTCTAAGGAGAGAAAAAAAAAATCTCATAAACAAGAAAGCTCTGCCCAAAATCAATTTGTCCTCAATAAAGGGCCGGTTGGTTGTAATGAGAGTGACGACCCGACTGGAACAGTGCTGTCACATTTAATTCAAGGAAAGCAGGAGGAAAGTGGTCACGAGTGGATATATAGACACCAATCACACACACTCTCTCACACACACAGCTCCTCTTTGAGGCTGCTAATATTGCATTTGTGCCCTAATGCACATGAAGTCCATTATTCCTCGTGTCAAATATATACTATATTATTATTGCTTATAAACTTTTAGAATTAATAGCCTAACATTCCTTGAARGAATCCATATCAGCAGGTGGCCAGTTTGTCGAAGGACAAACGCATGATTTTAGATGGTGAGAGGAAACTGAAGGACTGTGGAGAAAATCAACATGTATGATGGGAACATAAAAGCTTCACACAGAAATTCAAAAACCTGACATTTTATTGCTGTAAGGTGAGCAAAACCCCCTCACTTAAAAAATATATTGTACAGGTTGAGTCAGAAGTCACAGGACATCCTTTTATTTCAGAAAGAAAAGAAAAATGATCATATCTGAATAACCAAAAAAGATGAGGGGGCCTAGCTTTAGAAAAACTTGCCCTTGATCTAATATGGTAGCTTTCATAATGGTGACCACGTTCTGAACATAGCCTAAAAGCCCCCTCACCCATTATTTTCTGGGGTATTCTCRTTTCTCTCTGAAATGAAAGAGTGTCCTTTGACTTTTGACTCACGCTGTACATGGTCTTTATTAGCAGGGATTGACAGAGATGTACAGTGTAGTTCCTGTTTTTCTAAGACCTCCTCACAACAGTCTCTAACAAACACTGAAGCTTTGACAGGAGGACACAAATCACGGGACGAGTCCAGCTACCATAATGCAATTTGGGCAAAACGTACCCAGTAATTCAAGGTGACTCTACGAATCCCTTTTATCTCATTGGATAACTTATAGGTGCTCATTTGAATGAATAATCAAAGCGAATGTTTTTTTTTTCATATTTATACGCATTTAGTTGAAGGGCTAGTTTGTTAAAACATTTTTTTCTACTGAGCGATGAGTATCGTAGGTTTTTTTGTGTTGTGTGGCAATACGATTAATCTTTCTGACAACACAAACCCTGAGCAGTGAGTGTTGCTGAGCTGATACCATTTAGAGTAAGAGTTCCGGTAGTGATGTCTGTCAGGGAAGCAGGGGACTGCTCAGTGAGGGACCCTGTCAGCGGTGATGAAGCTTAGCCAACACCGGAGCACAGAGGTCACCTGACATCACCTGACCGCGGCTGACGAGACCCCGACATCACAGACAGCCTGAGCACCGGGAGCAATCACAATCAGACTCGGAAACGCCAAAAACTGTCAAACAGAGCAATCACTCTTTTATTTATTTTATTTTCCTCCCTCCTCTGTTTTTCTTTCACTTTCATTTTTTTTCACTTCAGGCTCAAGTGTTTTTGTTTTATCGTTTTCTTCTCAGCTCACTATCTACCCCTTCTCTATTAACAGATAGAAATTCAGCATTTATAATTACAGATGCTTGACTTCAGTGGTTAGAAATGCAGTTATTTTAATAAGCAAACAAAAGCAAAGCAGCAATAAGGTTTTTCAACGGTGTCTGTGTGTGCTTGTCAGTAACATTAGCTAAATATTTTATTTACAAATGTGAATGAAAGCAATACCTGGATATACAGCTACAGCTTGTTAGCATTTGACGTAAACCAAATTCAAGATGGCTGCCACAGCCAAATGACTAAGAAACATAAAAATGGCTAACCCAGTCAAGTTTACAGATACTRGGGTAAAATGTGGTGTGGTACTACATGCATATTGCAAAATATCTTTGCTTTAAACTTTGGTCTGTGGTGAAACCAACACTGTCTGTTAGCAAAATATCCCATAACCCAGTGAAAAGAACTCAGCGAAGCTCTCAGAAATTAATCATTTAGTGTTTGTCTACAGGTGGTTAACATTCCAGGTCAACCAAACTCATGGTGGCCACCGGGGTTAATAAATTTTATCCAACACAAGAAGAACAAATGTGATCTAACATGGAAGGCCAACTGCCTTTTTATTAAAATATCAAAGTTATTCTTAAGCAATCAATGTTAGAACAGCTTCAATTCATTGTTGAAATTTTAGTTTATGCCTCAGCGGTGACCCGACTTCCTGAAACCTCAGTCAGATTTGTTGTCTCACTGTCCTCCCCCTTTCAAAGGCATCTGTAAGCACAGTGGCATGATGGGTAATTTTCTCTATTAGCATCAGAAGAGGCAGGACCATTCCCTGAGTGGGCCGAGCAGCATGTAATCCCATCAAAACGGCAAATCTGTGACCTCATCTGAGACGTCTGAGTTAGGAGATTTCATCAAACGCTGATGCCATTACTGACTCAGAGGAGGAGGAACAGGTCGGGGTGGTACGAGGGAACGATGACATGAGAATACACAATTCTGTGCAAAAGTCTTCAGCATACCAGTGAGTCAGATCTTTAAAAATGGCCTTAATCAATATTTTTCCAGGCTTTATTAAAGGTCTTCTAAGTTATTTTGAACCTTAAACTTTTGCTGTTGTTTTTTTTATTATTAATTTTCTACATAAAAATGTGACTCAATGGAAGCGAAAAACCCAGTTCTTTAAAATATTTGCAGGGTACTGTAAAAACAGTTAAATACATAATATTTTATGGAAGTTTTGTCACCATATGAATTACTAAAATAGARTTCTCATACACAGATTACCAACCCTATTATCATTAGATGCAATAACATCATTTCAAATACAGTAGGTACCACAACCAGTTAAATAACTGTTCAAATCAAAACTTTTTTAATTAACAAGGATGTGCTGTATAGATTAATTCATTATAATAAAGGTCTAACATTCCTTGAATCGATGCAAATTTCCCTTTGTCTTTTATGCCAGAGTTTTAGAATAATATCCTCCTATGCTGAGAAATAATAAGAGATTCAGCTGTTTTGTTCAAACCTCAAAAATAACCTTAAACTTAATCTCATACAATATTACAAGAGAACATACTCAGAGTATGGGGTTTAAATGACAACAAATCTTACACATTCAGTGTCACGTGGAGTGTTGGGGATAACTCTCAGCTACAGCCACACTTCAGCAAAATATCTGTAAAATAAACTGAATTATGGTCATTTTGGAGCTTTGAGGTGAGTTGGTGACGGCCATCTTAAATTGTGGTAACTCCAAAAGTCACTCATTTGTAAGCTAATGGTTAATTATTGCAAGTTTATTTTAGAGTAACACACAACTGTTTAGTGTCACCTGCTTTTGCCTTTAAGTGATAAGCAATGATAAAGAACTTAAACCAGATAATTAGGTAAAAGTAAAAATATTTTAATTTAGGCACACATTTTAAAGGATATTTTAAATAGACCCTCACAGCAAGTGACTTGTCTGTTGCTTTTATTCAATCAAACATATATTTGTTTGATTTTCTGGGGGGGGGTTTTCTGTGCCGCTGACCAAATACATGAGATGTGAAACATAATGTACCAGCAGACAAATCTCCTCCAAAAACTCCAGCAGATAGACGTTTGCAGATGGTTTTAAAAAAGGATACTTCATTGGGAAGCATGGCTGTGTCCTGCTGCCTTCATATTACCTCACTTTTTCCAACAATCACACAATTTGGTGAACACTTGCAGTTTTGAATAAAATATGGGATTGTCAGATTTGCAAATCGTTGCATTTTCATTGAACATAGTCGCAACTTTTTCATAACTGGTGTTATGTAAAAAAAAAAAGTCTATTCTAACAACTTGCAGTCACTTCACCTGAACATTTTTGCTCATTTCAGTGGTAACCCAGCAGGGTTACAGCAGCAGCCTTTGGGATTGCAAACAAAGCACTTTTTTTCCCAGAGATTTCCAGTTGAGCGGCTGTGCGCCTTCATGTCAGTCGCTCCCTGCCTCTCTCGGATGGAGCTGCTCTCATGGATGAGTCAGGAGGCTCAGCTGCGCTCCCGCATCCTCTCCTCTATTTGTCAGAGTGCTTTAACCGCCCCGGGGCTGCAGGCAGCACCGCAACCAAAAAGCCTGGACGACCCCACAGCTCAAACACTTTCACAATAAAATGATTCTAAAAATAAAAATAAAACGTTTTGGATTCAAATATGTCACTTCTTTTGTTCGTCTCCTTTGGATCTCCACTTTTGCACCTAGCCGTCAGAGAAGTAACAAAATCGCAGGAAACAACTTCAACTTTTTTTAACAAAATCACAAAACATACGGAAAAACTATCTGAGCCTTGACTTTAAATGGGAAAGTGCAAGCACGTGCGTAATATTAACACATTAAATCACCTCCTATTAAAAAAAGTATTTTCTTACCGTCCTTTATGGGGAGTAAAGTGGACTGAGCTGACAGAAACCCATGGCTGTAGACTCCGTTTTGCTTTTGTGTAAATTAAGGGATCTTCTGGAGGCTTTTTCTTTCAGCAGCGCAGGATGACAGGTTACTGCCAGCGCACGACGTGCTTTTTTTTTTTTTTTCCTCTTGATGCAGTCCTCTCTGGCTGCAGCACTGAGAGAGAGAGAGAGAGAGAGAGAGAGAGAGAGAGAGAGAGAGAGAGAGAGAGA